AGTCAGCTGACTATGCCTGGGAGCCGGCAACCACAGCCACTCAGTCTTGGAAGGGTTGAGTCTGAGTCTGTTTCTCCCCATCCAGACCCGTACGGCCTCCAGGCACCGGGCCATCACATCAAGGGCATCATTGGGGTGGCCTGGGGTGGAAATGTACAGCTGAGTATCATCAGCGTACTGATGGAAATCCACCCCAAAGAGAAGGTGCTTACATTTGTGAAAAGATCAGCTATTGCATATTCGTATTCAAGTTAAAAACCTGAATATGTGCCTGAGCTCTTTTGTACGGGCAACCAAGATCTGTCTTCACTAATATTAATATATCACAGCACATCAATCATTTTTCACTTTGTTACTGACCCTATTTATCAGATCCCAAGCAGAAAAAATAGAAAGAAACTTACCTCCCATTGGGTGAAGGTTGCCCAGTGTGTTCAAATTCCCAGAAGAAGCAGCTGCTGTCTGCTGAAGGAGCTGCAAATAAAGCTAGACATTACACCAAAAACAGAACAAGAGTGAGAATGAGGGCTGGCTCCACTTCTGGGAGACACTGCACTACACCACAGCCAGAATGCCGTTACAAGCACAATTCTTACTGACCACACATATCACCAATACACACAAAGCAGCAGTGAATCCATACCAAGAAGGATGCTATTAAAAACAGGAACAATCCAATTGCTCATGCAATTCAAGATGAAATATTCTTCATACTCATGGCTAGTGTGCCATCAACACTGGCTACAAAGGTTTCTAACACTGGTGAAACATTTATCTGCCAACTCCTCCCTACTCAGATACCTTAAAAGTATTCTAAGAGGAGGCAAGGTAAATAAAAACAAGGGAAGAAGGCTATAAGGGCAAACCCACAGGTAACAGTAATGTCTTCTGTCAAGGCAATGATTTAATAGATAACCAGCTTATGTAAGATGTAATGAAGGGAATGACTCAGCAGAGTCTGTGTCCCTTTAAGAGCCAGCAGGTTCTATGTCCCTTTAAGAACCAACTAGGTCTGTGACCCTTAAGAGCCTTTGTATAAAAGGACGGCTCCACTGCTGTGTTCTCTCTTCCATTTTCCTACTGTAACCGTGGTGTGTTGGATCCTGCTGTATTAGGACATGTAGGTATATTGTTCCTGGTGTATGATATTGTAGATAGTGTAAGATAAACCACCCTTTACTATAGACCACTGTTTACTGTGTTTACTCCTGGATTATCTCGTGCAATAAGACTATGCACGCTCTGACATCTTCATATTGTGTATATGGCAGGGTGCTGTGCAAGTTGGTAGAGTATTGTATATTGATACTGTAGTAAAAAGAAAAATAAACCTTCATTTCCCTATTTACTCTATAAATGTATAGGTTCTACAACATAAGTCCTCAACTAAGTGCCACATTCCTTCTTACTAATAGAAATCCTAACACATGGCAATACTTCAATGCTAAAAAACATTTCAATCATCTGTACTTACCACTACTACCACTACCAATTTTTGAGCTTGTAAGAGTCTCAGAATGAGAATACTTGCAAACAAGAAATGTGTGTTAAATTATTTAGAAAATAACTCTGATCAGAAATTGTCAAATACACTCACTGCCAAGTACTGGGGTCCAAGTGTGTTCAGTCCAGCCAAATTTCCCCAAACAGAGGCAGCGCTAATCTGTTGCATCTGTTGCTGGAGTTGTTGTGCGATTCGTTTCTGTTCTTTATCTTTCTGAGTATCTGCAAATTTCACTACGATGGGAGAAGAACATCCCTGCAATACAATTCACACAGCTGTAGCTTTTGTCATCTTTCCAAAATCCTAACAATTTACATTCTTTAAATAATTGCTTTAAAAAGAACATACATTCAGAAACTGTGTCTGCTTTTTAAAGCAACCTGTAACATTCCAGAATTCCAATGCAGATTCATGTATCTTATATATATTTCCTATTTTGCATAGAAGTGGAGAGAAATGTGGATATGTGCCATGCAGGGGGTATGAATGAAGAGATGTTAGCATAGTAACTGGAAAGCTTAAACTAAACATTTCTGTATTATGATTTGGATGTATTATTACCACCCATTGATGTTATCAATACAATTTAAAAAAAAAAACCTTTAAAACTAAAAAAAAGTTGAAAATATAGTGATTTAAGTCTTTCTACAAGAATTTTAAGGGATTTTTTAATATAAACTAAAATATCTGGCTGTGAAGGGAAATATTAACTCCTTTGGTAATACTGCAAAAGAGAGGCCAAGTGCATTCTACAGCTTGGAAGCTAAACATGAAGAGAATCTCAAGTGAAGGTATCTTTAAGAGGGTGTATTCTGTTGACTTTAATGGGTGTCAATAAAACTCAATCATCAGATAGTAGGCCCTAAATGGTGTAGGCTTTAAAAGTTACAACTAACACTTTAAATTGTCCTTAGAATACAATTAGCAATATTGAACTACAAACATAAAAACCTCTCAAACTTGGTTGGTTTTTTTTTACCTCCATTGTCTGTGCTTGATGCATTGCTTTGATTGCTGTTTGTGCCATTGCTCTTGTGGTAAAAGTCACAAAAGCACAACCTGAGAAGGGAATATAGTCAAAATTAAATAGTTTATCCAAGTTATCTCCTGAACAGAAGAAGCATCTTGCCCATTTCTAAAACTCCCCAATTAAATATAAGGGACATATATGGGGGAAGACAAGGGATGGGGAGACAGGAGGAGAAAGTGAGGTCTGAAGGGAAGAGTTATCAGTTGCAAACAGGTCTGCGTGTACCTCGGCTTAAGCCATCAGGACCCCGTAGAATTCTGCATTCTTCAATTTGACCAAAAGAGGAAAACATCACTCTGATATCATTTTCATTGCACTTCTTTGAGATCATCCCAATGAATAGTTTCCTATCTTCCACCGCTAAGAGAAAAAACAACAACAAAAGTTAGGAAAGTGGCTTGACTATTTTACCTGATTGGGTAAGTTTCCTTGTTCCTTTTATAGAACAATCCAGAAAAAATTATCAATAAGTTGCCCCCAAATGAACATTATCATAAGCATCAGAATACTTTCTTTACCCTCCCACCACCAATCTAGAATCTTCAGTCTAGAGCAAGAGTCAGAAAAATCTATTCTCTCTCAGTTTAGTAGAAGAGCTGTGTGCAAAAAGCAATGAACTGGAAACAAACGTTTTGAGTTTCAAACAATCTATTTCAACATTATTGGAAGTGTTTCAAACTTCTGAAGCTGCCTTCTTTTCAATATGAAATAAAAATGGCTGCATTTCTTATTCTGATTTTCAACAGAATAACATGAAAATGTGAGAGGATATTTATTTCATTGATGGCATTGTTGGGATCTGAGCTTTTAATTTTTTTTTAAAGTGTCCATAAGTTGCAATTTTGGCATATAATGCAATGAAT